TGCACACAACCGCAAAGTAGTGTAACCTTCCGAGCATCTGTAACTCTTATTTGAATAAACTAATGTAAATGCATGTTAATCCAATCAGACAGTAAAGGTTCCGGTAAGTATCATACGGATACAAGTGCAAGTGTGACTAAAACAATCTCAGAAAAGTGTCTGACGGATGCATAAGGCAATGAAAGCACAATAGCTAAAATAAAAGAGAGGTAGATTGGAGAGTGAATAATAGTCCTGGAGTAGTGTGGAGTTAACAATTAATAATCAGAACTGGCATAAATGCATCTGTATACAATATAATTTATTACAAATTTGTGAAATATACAAGTTAAATACTAGCACTTACTTCTTTATGCTAAGGTGCCAATTCATCATTACTCTTTATTTGGCACAATACTTGGCGCCAGGAGCTCTTAATCCACTTAATTTTATTTCCGGTACTCGAACAAGTGGATGTATGTAACTCAGAGAAGGAAACGTTTCCGACCCCACAAAGTATATATATTGTTGATCAGCATCAATAGCCGAGTCGATATAGCCATGCCTGTCTGTCCGTCCGTCCGTCCGTCTTGTTGAGCGCCTGGATCTCAGAAACTATAAGAGCTAGAGCTACCAAATTTTGCATCCAGACTACAGTATGCTCACACTGTTACAAGTGTATTTCAAAATTGAGCCCCGCCCCCTTCCGCCTCCGCAAAAGGGAGATAAAAGAAAGCTAAAAACGTCATTCCGTAGGGAATGACCATATCTATCAGATCACCAAATTTTTATCCAATTGGATATTATATCCAGAATGAAGAAATTAATGTTCAGTGGCTAAACCCACCCCGTTCTCTCTTTCACACTCTGCTTCTGCAGTGTGCGGCCTCTGCCTCTGGCGTTCCTCTGCCTCTGCCGTGACTCTGCAGTGTATGGCTCTAGGGAAGGGTGGCGAGATAAAGGAGCGTGTTGGCGTGAAAAGTGTTGTAGATGTAGATGACAGATGAAGAAAATATTTTAAATTTTACAAAGAAAACCCCGTAAGGTACAGATGAAGTACTGAGTACCGGGTATAAAAGTTGTGGCGCGTATGAAGCGTCTTACACGTCCCTTCTCGTTATTTCACGCTTTGCGTCTGTCTGAACACTTCCCCTAACAAAAATTACAAACAATTAACACATAAAGCACGGCACATTTTAAGGGCGTTAAATAAAACTTTTGCTCCCTCTCTCTTTCACACACTCAATCTCGTGAAGTGTGCGCCCTCTGGCGGGGTTGGAGCAAAGGCAAAGATGGTGACTATGTTTAATTTAAAAAAATTACTCTTTTATAGAGTTGTTACGGAATGTTAAGCAGCATTTTTAGCTGTACAAATTTGTATCGCAAAATACTCGCATGCAAGATCATTTTCGAGTGTGTTGTGATACAAAAAAATTGTTACCAGCACACAAGATCGCATGCGAGCTCGAAAAGCACGATGGGTGGAGCATGGTTCATTAGGAGTGTGTGTGAAGCATAATTACAGAAGGAATCAACGAAAACAAAGAAGAAGCAACGCCTATACTGACAAACACCAACAACCAATTGCAAAGCTTCTTAAAGCTGCATGGAAAAGATGAGAGAGAGCAAGAGGGGAGAAGCCTTTGTCATATTCCTCTATGCTTTCGGCCCATTGTTATGTGTATACCCTCTCTGACATAAAAATAATGATGATTTGGAAGAACTATTGTTTGCAAATGCTTATGTGAAAAATAAATATTGAGGCTCCTAATCAGCAAAGGGTACTAAAAGATTCGGTCATCGTGGCTAGTTTTCCGCTTCTTGTTGTAATCCCTGATGCTCACAGAAACAGTGGTTATGAGAGGCGCGGAAAGAGAGTTTGAGCATGAAGATAGAGAGAGAGCGACAGACGTGTAGAGTATGTAGTACCGTATTTCCTGTCCTTTCACTTTTTTCCTTCTCTTTCTCTGCAGTTCGTTCATTTAGCAACAAGCAGGCAGTAAGAATGCTCCAAATTTCCAGGTCCTGCTAAAAATACTGACAAAAAACTGACAACGAATACACGCACACACATGAAGTGAAAGCGTCTGGAGAGAGGAAAGAGTGAGAGTGGATGAGAGGAGAAAAGCACACACCCACCCCTCTACATTCTTAACCCACCGCACCAACAAGAAGAGAACACGCGTGGAATGGCAAACGAGACAACACGACCAGACAACACACAACATATGTTGAATAGGCTTTCACTCTCTCTCTCTCTCGCATTTCAACATAGCTTTTGGTTAACATGCCCTGGCAAACCAAAACAAAAGCAGCAGAGCCGACAGAAACGATTTTTATTCCCGCACAAGGAATTGGTTGGTTGGGGGGGGCCCTAGCAGGAGAGATAGGAGATGGTGGTTGGACGTCGACAGTCGTGTTGCGTCGCCTGTCACCATCCTCTTTAGCCAAAAAGAAAATCCTTGAAAGTTTCCGCCTTTTTGGACAGATGTCCCTTGACATTTTCACTTGCGCCTCTCTGACATAGAGGGAGGGAATGAGTCCTATGCGATCAGATCTTAGTAAATATATAGTCTGTCCGCCAAGTGCGAATTTATCTACCCACCCACTATACACGCTATGCTGAGAGCTTCATCTCGCTTCTTTAAGTACAGCCAGACATGGGAAAAACTAGTAGAAAGCGTGCTATATGCTGGAACTTTGAATATAAAATTGTTTGGAACTCTTCTTTGATATTCATTCTATATAACTGGTGAGCTGAGGCACGCAGAGATAGAGAGATTGAGAGAGAGAGAGAGAGAGAAATGGGTACAAATGACAGCTCTTGATTAGAAGTATTACTGAATTTTGCCACCCTAGGAAAACCTTTCCATCTTTATGTATGCATTTACAACATACCCTGGACATTCCAAGCACAAGTTTTCCATCCTCTCGACGGCTGGCTGTGTTGTCCTCAAAAATATCTAACCCCCGAAAGTGTTTGAGCCTGGGATTTGGTCCACGGATGTGTTTTTCATTATGGGAAAAGGACATGGAACGGAAAGCAAGAATGGCTGGAGAAGGACACTGCCACTGTCTGCTCACACACAACAGTTTCCTCTCCCATGGTGCTGACATTCATTCCCATCCTACAGATGGCTGGGAGCGACCCTCGTTCTGCTGTCTAGAAATCCCAGCCATCCCCCTTTTGCCAGCCACCTTTACCTACTTTTCAACCATTGCCGCTGCCACCGCCAACCAGAGCACATCAGCGGAAATTTTTATATTTTTATCACTTTTGGTTTAATCTATTATTATATTTGTATACCTGGTACTCGAAGAGTAAATAGGGTATATTGTATTTGTGCACAAAGTGAATTTATGTAACGCACAGAAATAAGCGTTTCCGACCCCATAAAGAATATATATTCTTGATCAGCATCAATAGCCGAGTCGATTGAGCCATGTCTGTCTGTCCGTCCTGATGAGCGCCTAGTACTCAGAGACTATAAGAGCTACCAAAATTTGCATCCAGATTTCTGTATGCTAACACTGTTACAAGTGTATTTCAAAAATGAGAACCGCCCCCATCCACCACCGCAAAAGGGCGAAAACCTCCCAAATCGAAAATTTTGAAGATAAAAGAAAACTAAAAACGCCATTCCGTAGGAAATGGCCATATCTATCAGATCACCAAATTGGGATCCGATCGGATCATTATTATAGTCACAATGGAGAAATTAATTTCCAGTGGCTAAACCCACCCTGTCCCGCAGCTTTTGTTGCTCTTTTTACATTCTCTCATTCACACTCTGCTTCTGCTTCACTCGGCCCCTGTCTTTGCCATCCCCCTGGCGATTCCTCTTCCGACTTTTGACCCACCCCGTCCCGCAGCCTTTGTTTTTTTTTTTGTGTGAGGGCGCTGCCTCTGCCGCAAATTTAAAATTTGACAAAACACCGCTGAGGTGCAGTTGCACTATTGTCCCAATGACCAGTTTTGGTGGCTGTTTACGCCAAATTAGCGCATGGCAGGGAGCAATTAGTATTTTGTATAGGTAAAATGAATTTGTAGCATTAAGATATTGAATTGTTGCATTTACGACATACTCACAGAAGTTTGTTGCTATAGAACATACATGTGATATGTGAATACGATAGAGAAAGAGGAAGAAAATGCATTTAATAGGTGAATATCGAAATTGAAAAGAAGAAGAGATTAAATTGATTTAAATTCCGACTCGGTCGAACCAGCAGCACTTGGCTTTTTATTTCGAGATTTTGACTCCCAACCTGGTTGCGAGGAGTTGCGGAAACAGTGGCCAAAAGCTAATTTTTAAAAGTTAAAACCAAGACTCGGTTTTTAACGCTCTGTATTAGAAAAAGAGTGACCATCAAAGTTGCGTATAAGAAATGATCATAGATGGCGCCACTTTCGAAAAATCTGCTGTGAAACCTAGCGGTCATTATTGCACAGAATGTGCAGGGAAAAGGTACAAATTTTATTGCTGTTTTAAATATCTCATAAATTGGAAAATAGGATTAACTGATAAAATTGTTTTGATGCATTTTATTTAGTAGGGTTTTTACTACGTGTTCTGTAAAGTGAACGATATCTAGTGGTTGGCGATGTCTTCTACATCTAGATGTAGTCCTGAGTGCCGGGTATAAAAGTTGTGACTCGTAAGAAGCGTCTCACACGTCCCTTCTCGTTTATTTTTGAAGCTTAAAATGTATAATTGGGGATGACTTTCCCAGCATTTTAGATCGAGGAAATTGAATTAAAATTAGGGGTTGATATTTTAAAGTAGAAAATACGATTGTAAGTCAATCCTCTTACTGAGAAAGTACTTAGAAGATTCCAGAAAATTTCGGATGTCATTAAAAATTCTTGGGTATTTATGGAATTTATAAATTAAATGCCAAGATAAGAAACACAATTTTAAATATTAAAATAGTTTCCCAAAAAAACCTCCTCTATATTTAAGGTGAAAAAGCTTCATCAACCATAGTTTACATACATATATTTTACCATATATGAGCATGTTGTCCATTTTGTTGGTCTCTGACCCTGAGCATAATTTTCTATGGTTGATCTTGCCCGGCTGTGACCGCTCTTCTGCGCTGCTGCTGCTGTCCAAAACTCTGAACTACATTTTAATTTCATTTGCTGTTTTCATTACATTTTTGGCTGTTTTGTGCCCACAATTTGGCAAAATTACAAACTAAACAGTAAAAGTATACACGTGTGGTATATGTGCCGATGTTTGCAAGAGAAACAGAGAAAATATTTACATACATATGTATGTATGAGTATATGGAATATGAGATTCTTTTAAGAATGGTAAGAACACATACCGCAATTTTGTTGCCAGCGCGACCTCTGGCTGCAGTCAGACGTCGATGCTGACGCCGCTGCTTAGCTTAGTTTGCCGTAGCCGTTGCGCTACGGTTGGCAGAGTTGCCAGCTTTATGTTTGGTTTACGGGTTTCACTTATTATTTTGCTGCTTTTGCTCTTCAAAGCTCTTCTTCTTTTATTGCTTGATTTTTTTCTCTTGGTTGCACTTTAAAGATTAAACGTTGAAACGGTACAAAAATACGCACTGGTATTGGGAGAGCTTTACAAAGCTTCACGCTTGGTTGCATTAGCATTTTTCTTGTCTATGGTTAAATCTTTTGAGGGTTTTACAAACACTTTCTCGCAAAACAGAGAGAGAGAGAGAGATAGAGAGAGAGAGAGAGAGAGAGAGAGAGAGAAAAAGAGAAAGAGAGAGCGGCCATGCCTGACTTTGCTCTCTGTTTCAGTGTAACTAATTTAGCCTTTTTTCTCGCCAATACTTAGGTGGCCGTTTTCTGTCCATTTGAATACGTATTTTATTGTTTTGTTATTTATAGCCTTTTAATGACTTTGCAAAATCAAAAAAGGTATTAAAATAGTGAATAATTATTGCGATTTTTAAAAGTAATTTAGAGTGATCTGCATACAGTCATTCCATTATTTGCTCGTTCAGTCTCACTTTTGAGAGCCGCCAAGGCATAAGATCTCTCGTTTCTTTTTGTTTGAAATTTAAATTAAAATGCCAAAATATCAAGGTTTATTATTTTCGATCCATTTTTGTTTACTACTAGTTCATTATACGTTCAAGTTTATATTCTGCTTTGCTTTGGAGTTACTTTGGCAAACTTTTTTTTTTAATTTTCCTAGAATTTAAATTACGTTTGGCACAATTTTCTCCTCCTTCTCTACCCTTAGTTCGTTTTCTGAAAATGTTTATTATTTCCCTGATTTAATCTGATAAACGTCATCGTTTTATTTGTGGTCTTTAGATTTTGGCTTTATATGGAAATTTCAAGACAGCACTGCTGCTGCTACCGCGGTGCCTGATGCCGGGTTGTACCGTTATGCCTGAAGTTTCACTGCTGTGGAGCTGCATTTAATGAGTCTAAACTTTCACGCCGCTGAAGCAGAAGCAGATGGCTGTTGCCTCGCAACAAGACGCGACAGCTCTGCCGGCCTTGTCGGCAAATTACCGGTGACCGGTAATGCAAGAGCCTGCGTCGCAGTTAAAGCTGCACGTAGGCGTCGGATGTGGCACGTTTGCGTAACCCTAATCCCGCTCCGTTGGATTATGTTGCCCAAAGGCTATGTGCTCTAGTGCGGATACGGATCGATATCGAAGCCGCGGCAGTGCCGCAACGCACCACACCGCTCTGACTCTCTCTCTCTCTAGTATCACACTCTCTCTCTCTCTCTCTAGCATCACACTCTCCCAATCAGACATTCTAATTGGAATCACACAGTCACAAATCGACAAGCAAAAACATTGGGATTGGGGGTGGGGTTCACGCTCATTACCATTCAATTGTTTGTTGCTCTTGGACGGAGGACGAGTAGTGGGAGTAGGAGCAGGTGATGACGTCGAAACATCATTCAAATGCAGTTATTTTACAGTTTCTCTTGCGAATCTACTAGCTGGTATTTCGAGTGTCTACACAGAAAGCAATAAACAACACCGCACCAACACCAATACCACCCACCAGCAGCAGCATCAACATCACCGCACCAACCCCGCCGAAACATCGTTAGTCCAACAGCATCCAAAGAAATTCGGATTGTCTGCACGCTGTTGACGCTGGCGTCGCAGCTGGCTTCGTCACAGAGCCGACGGTGGATGGCTGTGGTTCCCATTCCATTACTTTCGCTTGACGCCGCGTTGACGATGAGACGCCGCGCGCTGCCGCTACACTTTGTTTTTTTTTCCTTGTGCACTTCTTGTTCTTTACATGAGGCAATTATATATAGTTACTCATGGTTATTTAAGAGTAATTTTCTCCTTTAAGGATTTACACACACTGTCTATCGATTTATACACTCTCCATTAAGCACTAATTCCTCACCGGCCTTAATAAAATACAAATTTCTATTCACAATATGTTTTTCATTTATGCACCGTGTTTAATCCTGCTGTTCGTAAAAGACGCGCCGCGCACGCAGCGACGATGGGGCAAATTTTGGGCGGGCGGCGGCAGCCCCGCTCGGTTAGCTTTCGTGTGCAGTGTGACCGCGGAATTATCGATCAAATATAACTCACAGCCCTCAAAAATATAACAAAAATACCTTCGCATTTTAAAAATATATCGTAAATATACCGTAATCTTAAATCATATTGCTCGATTTTGATGTTCCATTTGATATTCCTATCCTGAAATTACTTCTAGCACTGAAACAATAATTTAATTCCACTTAAAAAACAAATTTTCTTATTATAAATACTCTTTTTTATTGGATTTTTATCCTTATAGGCTTATATTTTGCAACGTATTTACTACACATTTTATTTTTATTATTTTTATTTTTTTGGTATTTAATCGCTACAGCGATATTGTATGGTCGCACTACGATGAGTCTGCATTTACCAGGTAACTTCAGTTTATGTTTGGGGAATATTCGAAAAAAAAACTATTTTACTGAAAATTTTGAACTCAAAAAGAGATGTTTGCCGAACGGACTCCATAAATGTTTTGTACTACACATTTTCTACATATCATCAAATTAGTGAACACGTTTTCTTGATATCGATACTATATCGAGTCCCGTATCGATTGTTGTTTACCTTACTCTGGACGCACGTGCTCGGGCTGTGCCGAAACACTTTTTAATAAATTGTATTAAATAAAAGTTAAACCATGCCACCAGTGGCGCAGGAAGGCAATTGCCTCATTTACCGTGGCAGCAATTTCCTTAAGCAGCGCCTTATCCTCGCTTGCCTCTCCGGCAAGCCCCTGAAGATCACACAAATTCGATCCGAAGACGAGTCTGCTCCCGGTCTAAGGGAATACGAAATCAGTCTGATACGTTTACTGGACAAAATCACGAATGGCACACGAATCGAACTTAATCCGGCCGGCACCAGTGTCATGTTTACGCCCGGCCTACTCCATGGCGGCCAAATTCATCACGATTGCTGTGTCCAGCGTGGCATTGGCTACTATTTGGATGCTTTGATCGCCCTGGGACCATTTTGCAAGAATTCTCTGCACTGCACTCTGCGCGGCGTAACCAACAGCAAGGACTCGCCTTCGGTGGATCACATTAAGGGGGCCGCTTTGTCCCTGCTGAAACGTTTTCTCTTGGTGGACGAGGGCCTCGATCTGCGTGTGGTGAAGCGCGGTGTGGCACCATTGGGTGGCGGGGAGATAGAGTTCCGTTGCCCCGTGCGCAAGAATCTGCGTGGCATCCAGTGCCAGGCGCAGGGCATGATCAAGCGCATACGCGGCACGGTATATGCCTGCAAAGTGTCGCCCGCGATGGCCAATCGCACTGTAGAGGCCGCCAAGGGATGTATGCTGAAGTTCCTGCCCGATGTGTACATTTATACCGACCAGAATCGTGGAAAAATGTCGGGTAATTCTCCGGGATTTGGCATTTGTCTGCTAGCCGAGACCTCCGACGGTGTGTGCTTTGCCGCTGATTGCAGTTCGAACACCCCCGACGAGTCTGTAAGTAGTAGTGACGCCCCATAATTGGCATAGCTTATCCTATCATCATTTTAGGACACCCCTGCAGTACCTGAGGATCTTGGTCAGGAGGTGGCCATGCGCCTTCTGGATGAGATCTATCGTGGCGGCTGCTGTGACTCTGCCTACCAATGGTTGGCGGCTCTCTACATGGCCCTCGGACAGAAACACGTCTCCAAATTCCTGACAGGTACGACCGAGCACTCGGATCATAAGAATTGTATTATCCAAGACTGCCTTTTACAGGTGCTTTATCCACATATACGGTGCACTTCCTACAACATCTGCGCGACTTCTTTTCGATTACGTTCAAGCTAGAGAACCCGGACGCCGAAGATGATGAGGCCGATGATGTGCGTGGTGCCCAAAAGGTGCTCATGGCTTGTGTGGGTATTGGCTATACCAATATCAACAAACGTGTTAACTAAACGATTATGCATGCTAACGATTTCTTAGAATAAACTATTTTATTAAACCCGGTACTCGAAGAGTAAATAGGATATATTGTATTTGTGGGGTATAACGGTTGTATGTAACGCACAGAAGGAAACGTTTCCGACCCCATAAAGCATATATATTCTTGATCAGCATCAATAGACGAGTCGATAGAGCCATGTCTGTCTGTCCGTCTGTCGGTCCGTCCGTCTTGTTTGTCGGCTAGTTCTCAGAGACTATAAAAGCTAGAGCCACCAAATTTTGCATCCAGACTGCTATATGCTCACACTGAAACCAGTGTATTTCTAAAATGAGCCACGCCCCCTTCCGCCCCCGCAAAATGGCGAAAACCTCCCAAATCTACAATTTTAAAGATAAAAGAAAACTAAAAACGCCATTCCGTGGGGAATGGCCATATCTATCAGATAACCACCTATTATAGCCAGAATGAAGAAATTAATTTGCAGTGGCTAAACCCACCCTGTCCCGCAGCTTTTGTTGTTCTTTTCACATTCTCTCACTCACACTCTGCTTCTGCTTCATTCGGCCGCTGCCTCTGCCTCTGCCGACTTTTAACCCACCCGTCCTGCAGCTTATATTTGTTTTTTTTTGTGTTCGGTCGCTTCCTCTGTCTCTGCCGCGAGTCTGCAGTATGTGTGTCTAGGGAAGGCCGGCGAGCTAACGGAGCGTGTTGGTGTGAGAAGTGTTGTAGATGTAGATGACAGATGAAGAAAAAATTTTAAATTTGACAAAACACCGCTAAGGAGCAAATGTAGTCCTGAGTGCCGGGTATAAAAGTTGTGACGCGTAAGAAGCGTCTCACACGTCCGTTCTCGTTTTTTTATTAGTGCATAAAAAATTCTTTTTTTTTTATACTGTGTGTTCAAAAGTGCAAGCCAATGGATAGATGGATACATTATGAATATACTTTGCTATGCGACGTGCTGTTCAATGTATGGAATTGCGTATTCCCACAAGGAATTATGGACATATGATTTACGGCCATTAAAACCTTGGATCACACAATTAATTCTGGAATCCAGAATGCGTTTCTGCCTTCCATAAAATATGGTTAATAATGTTTTAATAAGCTCTATTATATTTTTGTAAAGATTGGAAAGAGTTTGGGAATTGGCTGGTTTCTGTACTTGTGGGCCAGCTATCCAAGATAGGGATGTGTGGGCCATTCTTGCCCAGTTGCCCAGAAGCTAGACAGAATATGTAAGTGTTTTTGAACAGCCCTGCCTTTAAGCCTGGTTCTATAAGAAGCCGTTCCCTGTACATATAAATATGTACATACATATATACCCTGTTTAAGCCCTATTTGGTGCATCTATAGCAATTGTATACATACATATGTATATGATTGCACAATCCCCTTTCGTAGTCTTCCAATGCCTTGGTGCGGTAGCCGCCGCAGTCGCTGCAAGTTTGTTGCGCCTCGAGAGATGTACCTAAGCAAAGGCTTTTTTTGTTTCCAATCAGCTCAGGTTACACGAGTATGGTTCAAGAACCTCTCTCTCTGATAACAGATCCGGTTGCCCAACGCCAAACCCTGTGCAAAATCGAATAGTATTTTTTTTTGCAAGTGATGCATTTTCCGCAACCAGTCGCATATGTATATGGACGAGTTTATATACATTCCCGTGTGCAAGATCAGCAGAAAGAGAGCTCAGAGGCAGAGACTTGGACTTCCTCTGGTCAGCACAAATCCGGAACGCCTGAGAGGGCGCTCTATAAAAAGACTCAACACCGCTGAGCCAACCATCAAACGTCGATCAGCGTTTGACAAGACCGATTCGAAATACCCAATCATGAGCCTGAGACTGTGCCTGCTGCTGGCCTGCCTTTGCTGGGCGGTTAATGCCAACAAGGATGCCTCCTCCTCCACGAGTATGCAAGAGCTGAAGCCCACTCAGTGGCTGAGTGCCGCCGAGCTGGAGAGCGTGCCCTCGTTGAATGACATCACCTGGGAGCGTCTGGAGAACGAGCCACTGCATAAGGGTGCCAATTTGGTTGAGAAGATCTGTAAGTCTCATGCCCCGCCAGACTTTCAGAGCCCACACTAAACCACATACTTCCATCCTACCAACACAGATCATGTTAGCCATATTAAGCACGATCTGACGCCCAGCTTTGTGCCCAGCCCCAGCAATGTGCCCGTCTGGATTATCAAAGCCAATGGCGAGCGTGTGGAGGCCAAGCTGAACAATTATGTGGAGAAGGCCAAGGCTCAGACCGGTTTCGGTGAGGATGAGGTTACCATTGTGTTGACTGGCCTGCCCCAGGCCAGCCAAACAGCCAAGAAGGCCATGCGCAAGCTGGTCCAGGCCTACATCCAGCGCTACAATCTCCAGCAGCAGCAGAAGAATGCCCAGGAGCAGCAGCAGCAGGGACAACAGAAGAGCAACGATTACGATTATACTTCCACATCCAGCGAAGAGCAGTCGGATCAATGGAAATCAGCCAAGGGAGCCAGCGGTGATTTGATCGTAAGTGTGTCGATGCAATCGCCCAGCAAACTCGAGTTTCATTTGTCCCATTATATTTCCCACCCAAATTTAGATCATTGATCTTGGATCCACTTTGACTAACTTCAAGCGTTATGCCATGCTCGATGTGACTGCTACTGGTGCCATGATCGGCCAGACTCTGGTTCAGCTGACCAACAAGGGTGTGCCTCAGGAGATTATCCATTTAATTGGTCAGGGTATTGCCGCTCATGTGGCTGGTGCTGCCGGTAATGATTTCACAGCCCAAACCGGACACAAGCTGCGCCGCATCACCGGTCTGGACCCCGCCAAGCTGCTCTCCAAGCGTCGCAA